GATTGACTCTGTCGAATGCCTTAGAAAAGTCTAAGTAAATCACATCTACGGGAACTCCCTCGTCAGCAGCCCTGGTCCATGAGTCCCGAGCAAGTAGTAGATTGGTGAGGCAAGATCGTCCGCGTCTGCATCCATGCTGGAGGTTGGAGATGATTTGTAGACTTTCAAAATATCTCACCATTTCATCAGCGATTATAGACTCCATCACTTTTGATAGAACAGGAAGGAGAGTAGTAGGTCGGTAGTTGGCAGGGTCTGACCGCTTACCTCCCTTGTATATCGGAGTGATAAGTCCACGTTTCCACTCAGACGGAAGTGTATGAGAATCAAATAGAAACTGGAAAAATGTTGCAAGGTGGACTGTCATGGTTGGTGCAAGGGTTTTAAGTACTTTCGGACTGATCTTGTCAATTCCCGGCGCACTATTTTCCCTGAGCGACTGTAATTTCTTTGCCACAGATGTAGGGCTAAAGTTGACCGTGGATAAGCCGACGACATTTGCTGGGATGTAGCAAGGCGATGGTTCCATGGTGTGTCTATTCACTGAGACAAACTGCATGAGCAATGCGTCCGCGGTCTCCTCTTCAGTAACCGTTAGGCCATTGACCATCTCTAGTGGTGGTATTCCCGTCTTAACCTTCCTTTTGTCATTCACATACCGGTAGAGCAGTTTGTGATTGCTAGTAAATTTGCGTACCATAGTTTCCTGCCATTCGTACTTTTCAGCTTTAAGGAGTGAAGTGCAGTAGTTTCTGACTGTTTTGTAATGATTCCACGTGATATCACTTGGACCTAGCAAATGACCCCTCCAAGCCTCGTCTGACCCATTCAACCACTTACGTGTTCTACTCCGGATCCAGTTGTTGCTCCATCGCGAAACTCGTAATGGTAGGTCTTTTGAAGCTGATTGTAGGACCCAGTTTATCTTGCCTTTCAACACTTGCCAGGCATCATATGACGAAGTGTGCATCTGGAGGTCCCAGTCAACGGTTGTCGCTATAGTGTGAAGCTTGGAATAGTTGGTGATGAATCGTCGGGTTTCTGGTTCTTTGTCAACCATACTGGCATAACACACATAATCAAACGTTAGAACTGAATGATCGCTACAACCTAGCGGGGCGGTTGTATGAAACCGACTCAACCCTTAACTCCTCATTAGTCAGCATTAAATCACGTGTTGAAGGCTTGTTTGAACCGCGGTGTCTGGTTGGTTGATCCACAGCGCGGATGAGTTGCAGCACATAACTAGTGCTCTGGCTTCGACAGCGGTCAAATTTGGGCTCACCATCAACACTAGCAAAACTGTCTGTCTCTTTCAGCCTTCACCGGAGGTGCAATCTTCAATATTGTCGCGAATCAGCATTGTTGGTGAAGTATTGGAAACCACCTCCCGCTTCAGCTACCTTGGGAATGTGATGTCGACTGATCAGCAGCTACCCATTGAGCTGCGTATTCGCGTGTCGAAGGCAGCGGCGGCATTCGGGAAGCTTGAGTACCGAGTGTGAAACAGCCATCAGCTTAGCTTTGGCACGAAGCTGATGGTGTACAAATCCATGGTGTTGTCCTTTCTGCTATACGGCAGTGAAACGTGGACGATGTGCGATATCTCGAGCGGTTCCATCAGCAGTGTCTGCGACGAATTTTGCGCATCGGTCGGGGCGCCAGAGTTGCAGACACGGAAGTGTTGCGTCGAAGTGGTATGTATGCAGTGGACTGCATACTTTTACTGAGACACCTGAGATGGCTCGGTCATGTGTGGCGCATGGATTCGACTCGGATACCGAAACAACTCTTATACGGTCAGCTGAATATTGGGAAGCGGCACGTGGGGAAACCAAAGTTACGTTCCCAGGACATGATCAAAGTGAGCCTCACACGTTCTAATCTTGATTGCAGGTCATGGGAATCGAAAGCGGTTGATCGGCGCTTATGGCGTGATGGAATCACGAAGGCAGTTGCTGAAGTGCGGGAGAAAGAGCTCATGGATGCAGAGAAGAAGCGGCAGGTTCGGAGGCGGCAAGCACCGATGGATTGTAGTTCATCGACATCGAGTACATAGTGCTGTAGCACATGCGGTCGCGAGTGTCTGAGTCAGGCAGGCTTAGTGAGCCATGAGCGAGGCCACTCGAGACCACTACAGAAGCGACGACGGGTTCTGCAGAGAAGGTAGACAGCACCGGCGCAGCGTTTGTAGGCACGCTGCGTTCGATTTACTAACTGCGTGGTTGCATGCTAAGTCCCCTTATTTCAGGTAGTGGGTTTTCAATTTTGCCTAAATGCTTTTCTTTCTCATATAAATGTCTACATGTACTCTATTCCATTAAGTTGCACACTTCGCCTAAGTCAATTGTAGTCGGTTACCATGGCATTTTATGTTCGATTTATTCCGTAAAGTATACTTTCTGACCTCGCGAACTTATCTAGGATTCGTTTGTAAACAACTTATTACATATGCTCATTTACTTAAGGTTTATGTCACCGTTTCCTTATGCATTAATCGAGTTATTTTCTTCTCTCTCTCTCTCAAATGATTGGCTGTTGTTTGATATCCCCGGTGTGGCTGCGCTTGATGTGCATGTTGACAAGGTGCCTACCTGTCTATTACCCGCTACCTCGTTCATACTGGCTCCAGGAGACAGTTGGTCGTTGCTGGAGGGGACAGGGTGCACGGTCCTTGTGGCCGTGTTAGGATCAAAGAGTGGTTCCATGCACTCAGTATGGAGCGGACTACGGTCCAGCCACCGCCTTGTGTGCATTTGATTCCCCAAATATAGTGTGCTTGTGTTTGCCTGTGAAGGAGTGTGGGCCGGCTCCGTTGATGAAACGTGGTTCCCATCGGCATGCCTCCCGGTCTTATTCCTTCGGGTTTACACAGGATATGGTGTGTGGTTGGAGCTGTGGGTGGTGCAGCGCAAGCCGTTCATGGTCCCTCTGTAGGCGCAGGCGTCCTGTGGCTTGCCACAGTGACAGGCAAATCCGAAACCGGATGCCGCCAACCATCCACTAGCTTTTGTCTTTTTCCGTGCGTTTCAGATTGTTGAAGGGAGGTAACTGATTTAAGCTTCCTACTTTGACAGGTGATTGGTTTTGGGGTCATCCTGAAGTACCTGTTTTGTGCAAGGTTATGGACAGGCAATCTCAGTTACGTGACCGATTCACACAAGCAGTAGTACAAATGCACTCGCACTTTTTGTAGATAGTGAAACAACGATATAGTCCCAGCCAATACCTTCCGGAGAGGATGGATTCCAGATAATCACAGATTGTAGTTGTGCTAAGTCACGGGATAGACTCGATGTCTACCTTGTGAGAGGGATTACTGCAGATTATATGCTCTACTAATGCTACCACGTTACAGTGTATCGCTAATTAAGCCTGTGACCACTCTGCACATCGAAAATTCTTGAGAATGTTTCCAACTGCGTTCACATACTTCGCTTTTATTCAAGGTGGATAAGTGCCGACTTTTCCAAACATGTCGCCAACACCACGTTTAAGCTTGCTGGGCGCAGCCTTTAGACCTCCACTATAAAATGCACTCTTGGTGTGTCCAAACAAGATGAACTTAGCAGATCTAGTTGGGCAGATGTGGCACCAGTAAATGTAAATAAAAGGCTAGTTTATTGTATACCTGATGGATGTAAATTTTTTCACCAGTGTCTATGAAGGTTATCTTCACAAGAAAGCTCAAGTTGACTTGAACCAATACATATCCCCCTACGGTGCGATATCCATGAGCGAGCCTAAGCTGTTTAGTCTATCTGAACTTGATTTTTAAACGGAAATGGCGATCACGTTGCATTAGTTCGGTTGCAGTTAGAGGGAACAACACTGTCCAGTGACGTTGTTAGTTTCGGAAGCATAAGTGATTTGGGCTACTTAGACTATGTAGGGAATGACGATGTTGACTGTGTATTCATCTCATCATGGTGTGCACGAGAATGAGTGTCACCAATCCGGTGCTGCGGGCAGCTAACTGTTTTGATCAATAACATTAACAGCGAATCCCGACCGTTTAAAGTGACACTGGTACTGCTTTTTTTAGTGTAGGGCGACGGTAGTCAGTGACTACTCGTGAATCGGAAGGACAACAGAAACGGGATTGTAGAGAATTAAGAACGGGCGTAATGGTTCAGATGAAACAAAGCTCTGCGAGTGTTGAGGATCGAGCCGACAACACATCACGGGCGGCATCTGGAGGTATTTGTCGAGAACGCAATGAATCAGACAAATACACCGTTAGCAAAGCCCACAGCAGTGAACGCGGGTCAAGTGATGCAGCCACGGGAGTGCAAATCGCGAGCTTTCGAACAACTCATGACCAGCCAGAATCGGATGTAGCGAAGCGGAGATACGGGATGGAAAGATGGAGGGGTGGTCTCGAAGTCCAACCTAGTAACGCACCTAGAATAGTCCGTCACACAAATGCTCATTTGCGTTGCTTCGTGAGAAGGAAACACCGTCCAAATCTGTACAGGTTTGTGATTTATCAATTGCACTTTTTTGTGGCAATACATGCCCTAACCCCCATCTGCGTCGATTTCTCTACATTAAGACCTAGAGGCTTGGAATTCGCACTCTAATTCGGTTACCTCTGCACCCAAGTTTACCATGCACATGAAACCGTGGTTTGTCACATTTAGTTTGATGAATCCAGTTATGCAAGCAGTGTCACGCGTTGTTACTTAGGAGTAGCGCCACATGACATTGCTGAACGCTGCATACCTGGAACACATTGCGGATGATTAGGGTTGTTTAGCTCGTCATGAGAACCATTGTGCAAACGTGCAAAGTTCAACATTCCTTCGTGCTTTAACTAAGGCTTTGGTCCGTTTCAACCCAAAGCAGCCAAGCAGAGATACAACATAATTGTTTCTTTTCCCTGCATGATAAATATGGTACACTATTTAAGGAGCTTGGAAGTTAGGAGTATCCACCCGCGGTCTACTTGCGCGTTTCGAACTGGTAACTTTTTCTTTATGCCAACACACCTTTAATATTTAATTCTTTGGCGCCAGTGAGTCACTCTTCTCTTCGCTGCTTTCTTCATACTGTTGTAGACCATCATTCAAAATTTCTTGTAGCTTTTCTGCTCTTTCCTCCGGTTCAGTCTAAAAAAGGGAGAAAGCAATGCAGTTAACTGGTTTGTAACTGCTGAAAATACCAGGTAGCTGGCCAATGTAAGACATATTGTGAAACTACACACACATTCACAAGTTAGTGTGATGCGCTCCGAAGATCTCTTACGTAGCTGTAGGAAGCACCAGAAACACAGATCTTGTGATCATATGGAAACCACTTATTACCAAATCCTGTGGAGCAGAATCTAGTTAACAGACCACGTCAGAGCTCACAGATGCATCTACAAGACAGTGGACTCACTCCGGAAACTGTTCGTATGAGCTTCGTCATCGTATCCATTCGGACAAGCTTAGCTGCCTCTACTTTTCTCATCTCCTTCAGGGCATTGTCTAAGTGTTTCACCACGGAAACAATAGAGCTCTCAATGAGGCTGACCCGATTCAGCAAGTTGACGTAATCGCATTGCTTCACCTCGGGTTTCTGTGGCCAGTGATCCTCTCCATCAGGGGTATCCAAGTTCAGTTTTTCTTCCTTTGCGATCTCGCTGACCAGAGCCATCTGAAATTTGATAAAGGAGTTTAGTTGCAGGGAAGAATTTTTAAGGAGAGATGTGAGTTTTTTGTAACTGTGCAGTATCGATAAAACCACCATTGATGAAGGAACTTAGTGCGAACCAGTGCCGTGTAGGAGCGCTAGAACTAAGGCTCCATGTGCTTGTTAGTAGTCAAAACATTCGACCTAACAGCTCCTAAATGCTATGTCGTGCATTGCTACTGTTGTGAAATGTTGTGTCTCTATGGTCTGGCCCTTCCTCTGCACTATCCGTAACTTGCGTGACAGTGTAGGATGCGCCGCATTATATCGCAGTTAGCTTGTAAGTCATGATAGCGTTTTGCAGTGACTCGTGACCAGGTGGTATAAGCTGATGACTTGTGGTGCAAGCCGATAAAGGTCATTGGCTTGTGTTCGGATGGATCAGAGGGATGCTTATCACTGATGAGTTTCAAAAATGGTAACAGCAGTCTGGTGCCTCTCTGGATGCTTGGTATATTACCTGACTTGGAAGCTAGTAGGATTAACTCCCAATACAGTACTGTACTGTTGGTTAAACTTATTACACAGTTACTTTTGTGGTGAAATTAACCCCCATTTGTTTGCTCTCCTCAGTACTAATGTTGGCAAAAAGTTTCTCCAAACGTGTGCCTTTCTACATAGTGTTTTCAAACAACGAGTTATCCGCTGAGCCACAACAGCTGTGGTACGTTTGAGTCAGTGGATTTAGACATGATTGTCCTCTAACGTACTAAGTAGCGTAGCTAATTTCACCAATTTGGAGCATTACGATTAGCCTAAGTGTTGCGCTGAAACTTCTTTCAGCGCATTTATAAACAGAGCACTTTTAAAACGAAGACAAAGAAACTAACGTTCGTGATTTGTTGTACAGTTGAAGTACTCATGGCCCCTTGGTTAGTGCGAGCGGAAGTGTGTGCACTTCACCTTAAGGATGACTTATACGAACAACGTATTGAGTTGCGGCAAATACTGTGCACGGACCTGGTGGTCAGTGTTTCTGCAACTGGGGAACTTGCGTACGAAGAAACATTTAAACTACCGGCAGTACACTTCGCATTGTCTTTGCTTTGATAAGTGAAAATGATACAAAACGATGAGTGGAAAAAGAGAGATGAACGCAACTAACTTTTGCTCACACGATGATACTTTCGATTGCAATTAAACTTCCTAGCTATTGGGATGATGAATTATAACAGGTAAGGATGCAAGTGCTTGACAGGTCTCGAGGGAAAAAAACCACAAGCTAAACTTTAGCACCGGTAAAATAAGGCACATATTGCAGGAGACAAAAAAGATTCGCAGTAGCACAGTGGTAAGTCCTTCCCGGGTAGGACTACTGTCTTCATTCGGTGTACACAGACTATAGCACGTAATGTCCATGTTTCAATGTATCATCAATTGGTATTATGAAAAGTGATGACGTAGCGTCATTAATTAGCGCGCAGGGATAGAGTTCCAGGTTTGTGATACTCGGAGAAACAAAATATTTCGTCGACATTTCGGTTGGCTTTACTGCATGGTCAACTGAAATTGCCGACCTCTTATTGAGTAGGTTTTGCTGTTTCACAGGACGGTGGAACGAGCGCTTAGGGTTTTTTAGGTTCTGGTAAATCGCTATGAGTTCGCCCTGTAGACGCTAATCCCCACCGCTGTACAGTCTCTGAGATTTTAGCTTAAGTCGATAGGTAGGTGGAAAAAGCCCTCGATGTTTTCGCTGCTCCAGGTTGTGCAATCTTGAGCGTGGTAAGATCGTGCTTCTGCAGGGGGTGCAGCGCTTATATGGCCTATACTACGCTCGACCTCACGTACATCACAAGCATTCGCGAAAAAAGCGGAAGCACCAAACTTTCTGAATTTTCTTCACAGAAGACAAGACTACTAGTTTTCCTTCTTCCGTGCTTTCACAGCACGCGACAGACAACCAAGGTCACCCTACATCTGAGAGGCTGAATCACCGGAATTGGTTAACAGTCAACGGGGTCTCTCGACTGATGCAGGTAATGGTGAAGGCCAATGTAATCTTAGCCAAGAACCTAAACGAAACCTGCTTAGTGATCCCGAAACTTGTTGGTTTCAGCGCGATTCTGATCTAGACAGGAGCCCTCTCTGGAAGTATTTGAAAACTATTTTAGATCATTTGGACCACTTGCCACAGAACAACTGGCATCATGGAGGTTAATTTCGAAGTTAACGGGCCACCAATCATGGAAAGATGCATGGAAAGATGGACAGCTGGGCCGAGAACCTCCACTCTCTATTCAGTTGACCTCCTGTAATTTGCGTCCGCCCGAGGGTCCCAAGGGCTTTCGTGTCCGGGGCGTACGTGAGTCGCATTAGACCAAGCGGGGTTGAAACGCAAAGATGATACTTCGGAGGTGGCTAGAATACCACCTAATAAGTGTCGGAGCTGGATGGACAGTGTGCATGTGTCACATCTGGTGACTAGTTGGGCGGCACTGTCACAGCTGCTCGTAGGGGACCGAGCGCGTGGCATAAAAATACCCATGAGATATGGTGGCTCTAACGATACTGAAGATGAAATAGGAAGGTAAAGAGAAGTGGAAACGACAAGCACTGTATAGGCTACACTCGACGACAGCTTATCTGTTGACTTGTGACAGTAACACACTGACGCGCTACACCTCCTCTTCCCATTTGTCTGACAAGTATGCCTAATTGAAAGCATTAGAAATTTTCACTGGAACCACATACCAAAGCGCAGGTTCGCCTTGAGGTTCACTAATTAAAGCGGTTCAAGACTGCTTGCTTAGCCGGAATTCTTCCAGAGTTGTACAAGTATGGTGGCTAGGCAACGGTCTTATGCTTCAAGATTTGGTGTGAAGAAAAGGTTATTTCTTTTTGGGGTGTCCTTAGCTTACACGCCAACCACAGGGAAATCAGGCTAGTATCCGTCGTCCTGGAATCGGTAACATGTATCCTAATTCGCAGACTAACACCGATTGGAGAATTATACTCTAGTGTGGAATAGGCTGGTTTCCGGTAGAGGGGGTGTAACGCATATGTTCACGCTCCGCCAACTCCTCGTGCATTGTGACCTTTTACGCCAACCTAGCACTGTCGTCTTTTGGAACAATCGGGCTGCATTCGACTAGGTCGACCAACCTGCTTATGTCCTTTTCTACAAAAGAACAAGTTACTCAAAAGTACATCTCCATCTCCCGAGCATTATACAGCGATGTCTTGGACAGCTCCTTTTACCGTTGACCGGCACTAGCAGGGATGCCCCGTATCCCAGTTTCTATATATTTTTGCAATTCAGAATGTCCTATTAAGCTCTCTGAAATTTTCCAGTGTTTGGAGTAGGTCTTTCAGGCAACTGCATGACTGTCTTGGACTAAGCTGATAATACCTTGCCCGGTGAAGACCCACGAAGTATACCGGCCCTTTTAAAACACTTGGCGATTGAAGCTACCAAATATAACACGACCTACGCCTTATCGAACTGCAAAGTCCTGCTCCAAGATTGGGATCCACATGTCCCAGTATCGATACTTGAAAGCACGCATCTTTAATAAGAGGACGGCATCATCAACCTAGGTATCTGCGCTCCTGCTGATGGTGCAATTGGATGAGTGATTGTTCTCTGCATCGCCAAAGCCCGATCAACTCTCGCTAACCTGGAGCATATGTGGAGTCATCGTGACGTCTCAGTTTCGGTACAGAGCAGGGTCTACAATGCCTGTGTCCGTGCGGTACTGTTGTACTGTGGTGAGTCCTGGCCGAACCTTGTAAATGAGTTGCGTCCGATGTTGGCCTTCGATAACGGCTGCTGCGGAGGTTAGCTCGCGTACGGTCGGAAAGCCACTTTTGCCATGATAATGTTAAACATCGTGTTTTATGTAATACGGGCCTGTCTCCATACCATTGTATACCGATTTGACAAATGAGATGTCTAGGTCACGTCCTACGCGCGCCGTTCGAACGATTAGCAGGCGCGCTCTATTCGCTTGCGTAAGGACTTATAGTTCAGTTACCGCGGGTTATATATCTTCCTATTTGGGGATCCAAAGATGAAGAAAACGGTTGGCGTAAAATCGTTGCGGAAATACCTCGGATTCGAGCTCAGTAGCAGATAGGTTTGAATTCATGCACTGATTCTACCGATCAACAAGATAATCACTAAAATGATGAAAAAAGACCAAACAATGTGTAAACAACAATCGACAAGGTTTTGGTCCGTTTTCAACCTTCGGCTTTTGCACTTAGCACGCATGGTAGCCTTATGACTAAGGTATAGACAAGTGCTACTATATGTATATATATATATATATATATTAGTCTTATGACTAAAGTATAGGCAATTGCTATTATATATATATAATAGCAATTGCCTATACTTTAGTCATAAGACTAGTATATATATATATATATATATATATACATATATATAATGGCAGGAGAGCCGTTGGCGGGCTGAAGCCTGTGGTGGCGAGATCTTGGCAGATCGTCGACCTGCTGCTGATAATGTCCTGGACGCGTCCTCGTGGCGACCGTTGGGTAGGAGTTGGGTTACCCCCTGTTCTATGTAAAATCCAGAACACAATTCCGCGTGAGTCATTTCACTGACTCATGTCGCTCGGCCCGCTGCCATTCGGGTTTATACTTTATCGAAGGCTTGGCTAAGAACCTGGGTCGTTCTCCTGTCAGGTGTGGGCGTCCTGGCATTATCCTAGGCCAACCCTCCAACCATGAATTACGCCAATTAAAATAAATCCGTGCTATGGAACTATGAAACAATGTTTTGATACGGATAAAAAGCTCATGCTTAACAGGTTCGGTATGATGGTTATTGTGAAACTCCAAAATATAAAATTAGAACTGTCAGCAAAATTGTGTTTACGCCCGTGAACTCACTGAGGTATACGTAGTATAAGCTGTGAATCATGATATATTCATAAGGAATGACAGTAACTGGGAGGTTAGTAAAATTCGTGCCTCCTCCTGAAGTAAGCATACAGCAGGTG